TCTTGGATAATCTGCTCTGCATACATGTTGAAAAGGTATGGAGACAGGATGCATCCCTGGTGTACACCCTTCCCAATTTTGAACCATGCAGTGTTACCCTACTCTGTTCTGACTACTGCCTCTTGGTCCAAGTACAGGTTTCGCATGCCTCTAATTGCTAATTATCATGACTTTTTAGATATTACTGTTAGATTAACTAATAGATTAACTATTACTATTAGATTAACTAATAACAATATTGAGTTATCATTTCACTCCAATAGTAAAAGTCAGGAAAATAATTCACCATTGCAAGAAAATGGAAACAGCCCAAATGTCCAATCACAAATGAATGGATTGAGAAATTATGGTACATTCACACAATGGAATACTAAGCAGTGTGCAGGAGCAATGATTTTGCAATTTATTACTTGACTTGGGAGGAACTGGAGAGCATTATGCTGAGTGAAGTAACTCAGTCCCACAAGGATAAATATTGTATAAAACCATTATTGTTGAATGAATATAAAGATCTAAGAAGGGTGGGAGAGGGTGGAAGCAGAGGGATGATGATCTGCAGGGGGAGGGGAGCTTAATCATGGGACTGTACAATTTGATTGGAGGTGGTGAGAGAATTTGAAATAATAGTTTTTTTAAAATAATGTATTCTAATTTTGGAAAGAAACCAGTATAAAATTTAAAAAGATGTATCTAATAAAGGAAAACAAATATCAAAAACAACAACAAAAAAGACAGTAACTGTTAATGTGAGTGTGAAGAGGTAGGAACTATACAATAGTGCTAGTGAGATTGTGAAATGTTGTAACCACTAGGTGTTTTTTTAAAATACGAGAATATGAAATTATTTGATTCAGTGATCTTACAACTAGGTGTATGTCTCAATGAAAAAAAATAAACATGACAGGAACAGTTACAAGCACATTCATACACATCATGTTCTTAATAGCATTGTGTGTATTATTAGCCAAAATATGGAAACAATCTTAGTGTCCATCAAGGGATGGATGGGTGAGTAAACCAACTATGGCACAAATACACTATGGGACACCATTAAAATAATGAAGAATCTGAAAAATAGTGAGGTATGGATTACACTAAGGAAAATAAGTGTAGTTAGCTAAGTTATTACAAAAGAATATATACTGTATGAGACCACTACTGTGAAAAGTTAAGGAAAGGTTTACACACAGAAGGAAACATTCTTTGATAGGTACCAGGGATAGGAAGGGAGAGGGATGTGAGATATAAATTAGTACATTGATGGTAATCCACTTTCTTCAATGTGATTCCAACTCATGGATATTCTCCTGGGTTTCTGAGGCTGTAATTTTACAGGAGGAGACAGATTTGTCTTTCTCCTTTCCACCAATATTTCAGTGAGCAGCTCAGTTACAATCATCTATTCCTTATTATATGATAAACACTTATGAAGTTAGATGAAGAAAAACTTATATTCAATAATAGATTTGTCACCATAATACTGGTAAATTAAAGGGGAAAAAAACCCACAGAGCTGCTCAGAGGTTACAGTCAAGATTCTATGCTATTAATAAGTAGAAACATTTATCTACATAAAGAAATGGAAAGATGAGCAATTTGGGAAGGAGAAAGGGATTATACTTACCATCCTATAGATGTTTGATGTCAATATGCCTATGTGGTAGATGTATACACTATAAATATACGCATATAAATAGTGACGCCACAAGGGGGCAGCCTATTGTAAATTTCACTATAACCAGACTCCCTAAGGGAAAGAGTTTCTGGTCCCAGGTCCTCGGTCCTCAGGGCTATAGTTTCTAGAGAGCCACAGGAACCAAATTTGACCTTCAGTCTATCCCACCTGAATTTCAAAACCATCTCAGGAACAGATTTGAGGCCTTGAACACTAATGAGAGAAGACTAGATAAGTTGTGGGAGGATATCAAGAATATCATCCAAGAAGAATGCAAAATGTCATTGCACAGACAGAGGAGTAAGAAAAGACCAAGACGGATGTCAGACAAAACTCTGAATATTGCACTAAAGAACCGAGAAGCAAAAAAAAAGAGAAGAAATCAAGATATTAAGGACTTGAACAGAAGATTCCAAAGGACAGTGCAGGAAGACAAAGTAAAGAATTACAAAGAAATGTGCACAGAGCTGGAGTGAGAAAATTAAAGGGGCTGAACTCACTCAGCATCTCTTAAACTGAAGGAACTGAAGAACAAATTCAAGCCTCGAGTTGCAATACTTAAGGATTTTTTTGCCAGAATATTAAATGGTCCAGGAAGTATTAAAAGAAGAAGGAAAGAGTGTACAGAATCATTGTATCAAAAGGAATTGGGGAACACAGAAGAATTGCATGAAACAACATATGAGCAACAGCTTGTGGTGATGAAGGAAGAAGTTCAAGCATCTTTGAAAGAATTGGCAAAAACCAAGGCCCCAGGAATTGATGACATACCAACTGACACATTTCAGCAAATGGATGATGCTCTGGATGTGGTCACCAAGTTGTGTCAAGAAATCTGAAGGAAAACTGCTTGGCCAACTGACTGGAAGAGATTGATATTTGTTCCCTTTCCAAATACTGGTGACCCAACAGAGTGTGGAAACTATAGAACAATATTGTTGATTTCACATGCAAGCAAGATTCTGCTGAAGAATATCCAAAAAAGACTGGAACAGCACATCAGCAGAAAACTGCCAGAAGTCCAGGCTGGGTTTAGAAGAAGCAGTGGTACTAGGGATAGTATAGTTAATGTCAGATGGAGCTTGGCTGAAAGCAGAGAGTACTAGAGGATTGTCTATCTGTGTTTCATTGATTTTGCAAAGGCCATTGGCTGCATGGATTACAACAAATTGTGACTGACTCTGAGAAGAATGGGAATCCCAGACCACCTGATTTTAGTTATGTGAAGTCCATACTTGGACCAGGAGGCAGTCATCAGAACAGAGCAAAGAAACACTGAATGGTTCAAAATTGGGAAAGGTGTACACCAAGGATGTATCCTACATCCATATCTTTTTAATCTATATGCAGAGCAGATTGTCTGGGAGGCTGGACTCTATGAGGAGAAATGTGACATCAGAATTGTAGGTAGACTCATCAATCTGTGTTATGCAGATGACACAACCCTGCTTCCTGAAACTGAAGAACCTAAAGCACTTGATGCACAAGGTCAAGGACTACAGCCTTCAATATGGATTGAAACTCAACATCACGGAAACAAAGATTCTTATCACTGGGCAGATTGGCAGCATCATGATATATGGTGATGAGATTAAGATTGATAACAGGTTTCGTTTTCTTGGCTCCACAATCAACACTCTTGGTACCAGCAGCCAGGAAATGAAAAGATGAATTGCATTGGAAAGTCTGTTGTCAGAGACCTCTCCAAAGTACTGAAGAGCAAGGAAATCATCCTGAAGACTAAGGTGTGCCTGGTCCATGCAATCGTCTCTGGGATTACTCATTATGTTTCAGAAAGCTGGACAGTGACTAAGGATGATAGAAGGAGAATTGATGCCTTTGAGCTGTGGTGCTGGAGAAGAGTATTGAATATATCATGGACTGCTAGGAGAACAAAAAAGTTAAGTTCGTCCTGGAGAGGGTGAAGCCAGGCTGCTTCTTGGAGGCAAGGATACTGAAGCTTCTTCTGACATACTTTGGATATTTTGCAAGGCAGTACCAGTTCTTGGAGAGGGACTTCATGCTTGGGAGGGTGGAGGGACAGCTCAAGAGAGGAAGACCCTCGATGAGATGGGTTGATTCAGTGACTGGGGTAATGCGGCTAGGTGTGTTTGAGACAGTAAGATTGGCACAGGACAGAGCAGGCTTTAGGCTTGTTTTACACCAGGTTGTTATGAGTTGCAGATGACTGGATGGCATATAACAACAACACATTGAGAGTTATAACAGGTGTCTTAGAAACCTGCTAGTGATTATCTACAATGTAACTAATGGTCTTTACATGTATGGAACAAAGAAAACCGAAGAAAATTGTTGTTACAATGAAGCAAATGATCCAGAAAAGCAGTACTGCCCAATAAGCCCAAATTCCGAGATCATGACGCCTGCACAAATAGATAGAATCTTTCTACAACTGCTGACCACTATGTAAGTGTTCACATTAGAACATCGTGAAAAGAGTGTGAAACAAGTGAGAAAGAAAACTCAAAAATCACAATAGTGAACAGACTTACTTGTCTAACAGACAGATGGGTCATAGACAATCACTAACCCAATGAAAATTCTTAGCACTTACAACTGAGCTCACTCTTGTGGTTCATATTCTAGACAAACTAATAATATCAAGGATGTATTCACTCTTAGAATTAAAAAAAAAAAAACACCAAAACTATACTAGACCAAAATGGCAGATCTTGCTGAGATATAAAACTCAGAAGGCAAGAAGGGAGAGAATAGAAAGATGAACAGAATCCTGAACCATGAGGAGAAAGCTGGCAGTGTGCAATTACAAGGAGGGGTTTTTAATAAATGTCACCAAACAACATGTAGAAAAATCATTGAGTGGAAAGTAAAACTTATCTATAAACTTTCAATAATTTTGCCATTAAACATTTTTTAAAATAAAAAATAATTTTTCCAGAATCGTATTACTAGGCCTCCCAATTCTCCTAGGACACTCCTGTCTGCTCTGAGGTATGGTCACAGAGTCATGCCACTCCACATCTTGCTAATATACAGTGGAGCACATGCAAATAGGGTCCTTTCTCCTGCTGATTAAAACCAGCCCAGCCCCAACCCTGTAGCTCTGGGAGAGGAGCCCCCCAATCTCAGGCATCCTCACACAAGAACCAGGTCTGAACACAGACAAGTCATCATGTCTCCATTTAGCTGGATTTTCCTTGTTGCTATTTTAAAAGGTAATTTTGTAGAGAACAGTTGCTTGTGTGTGAGCCTGAGTGAAACAATGTACATGTGTAATGGTTTTCCTGATGAGAATGTCATTGTGTTTGCAGGTGTCCAGTGTGAGGTGCAACTGGTGGAGTCTGGGGGAGACCTGAGACAGCCTGGAGGGTCTCTGAAGCTCTCCTGTGCAGCCTCTGGGTTCACCTTCAGTAACTATCCTATGCACTGGGTTCGCCAAGCCCCAGGGAAAGGTCTACAGTGGATCGCAAAAATTAGTAGTAGTGGTGGTAGTACATACTACCCAGAGTCTGTGAAGGGCCGATTCACCATCTCCAGAGACAACGCCAAGAACATAGTGTAGATTGCAGATGAACAGTCTGAGAACCGAGGACACAGCCATGTATTACTGTGCAAGAGACACAGTGAGAGGAAGTCAGTGTGAACCTAGACAGAAACCTCTCTGTGAGTGTCAACAGGACAGGATCCTCCTGATCCAAGAGCAGGTGCAGATGTAGGTTGAAGGTGGTTTCCTGTTGTGACCTGGGCGTTTACCATCTGACAATTTCCCCAAGAAATATTCTTGTAGCTCTCGTCCCCTCCTCACCTCTCTCCCTTCCTCTCTTACCTTTCCCTCTCCTTTCCTTTCCCTCCTTTCTCCTCTTCTCACTTCTTCTCCCTCTCTTCTTATATTCCCTCCCTTTTATCTACCCTCCCTTTTCACATGTTAGTCATATATTTTTAAAATATATGCAATGAATGAAATTCTGTATGGTCCATAACATCAGTGTTCTGCTGAAGCTCAGGGGAATCTTGGAATTTATTGCCTGTTGGATTCCTGGAGTCTTGCCTTTCACTAATACCTTCATTGTAAATTGGACTTCTTTCTTCAGTACCATTGATTCTTAATAAAATGCTTCTTCTTAAAGTGGTTCAGTGTTGGTTCTATTTGAAATAGTAATTTGTGTATTACTTCCACTTCTTTATGAATGGGTTTTTAATTTTTCCCTCATTCAATATTTTGTTCTAAGAATCCTTTGCTATTATTACTCTAGGCCTTGCCCAGCTCTCTATAGCATTTTGCTCTTCTTCTGAAGCTGCCCTTTGACATCTCATTTTATGTGTCCTATTACATAATTTCTCTCATTTTGAATTCTCTACACTGAAGAGTAAGTTTCGGAGTCACTTGGATTTCATTTCAGACTTTTGTCTTCCCTGTCCTCAATTACACTTTGATTTCTTCGTGTATGCTGTCCCGGATATGATGCCATGACTTGTCTAGTCTTGCACAATTAATGTTCAAATCTATTCTGGAGATGGCTTCTAAATTCACATAGGATAAACTCAAGGTGTACTTTAGCTTTAGTAGATGCCGTAATTTTTTCTCAGTTTCTTATGAGTTTTATATGAGTTGATTAATCTTTAGCCTATTAATTTTCAGTTTTTTTTTTCTTTTTTCCTTACGTTCAATTTTTTAAAAGAATATTTCTTTATACCATCATTGACTTTTACAAAATAACTCATAAACATTGTGTTTCATTCACGGTCATTTAATGCAATCATTTCTGTACATTATCTTTCATATAATTCATTTCTATTGATCTATTAGGAAGCTCTGGGGTGGCCTGGTGGTAAAAAGCTGTACTTCAATTTCAAAGGCATGAGATTCAAATACACCAGCTTCCCTGTAGAAGATGGATGGACAATCTCCTCCTGTTGGGTTAACAGCCTCTGAAAACCCACTGGAGCATGAAATAGCTCTCTACACTCTCAGTTATTTTTCTGTTTTATATCCCATTGATTTCAGCCATTATCCCTATGATTTCCTTTCTCCTAGTAGTGATGGGGTTAGATTGTTGATGAAGATGTTCAGCTAGTTATTTTACTCATGTCTTCTTTTTTAATGTGTTTGTTTGTTGCTATTAATCAAATGAATGCAAGTCAAATCATGAAAGGAAGTTCAGTTCCAGCATTGAAAGATGGATAACAATTGTCATTGTTGTTATGTGTCATTGAGTTGCCTACAACTCCTAGCAACCCTATACAACAGCCCTAAACCCTGCTCTATCCTTGCCAATCTTATTGTCTCCGACACACCTATCCCCATTACTCCAGTGACTGGATCAATCTATCTCATTTAGGCTCTTCCTCTCCTGTGCTGTCCCTTCATTCTCCAAAGCATATGTCCCTCTCCAAGGACTGATCCCACTTTGCAACATATCCAAACTATGTCAGCTGAAGCTTCAGCATCCTTGCCTCCAAGGAGCAGCCTGGCTTCACCCTCTTCAGGATGAACTTGTTTGTTTCTCTAGCAGTCCATGGTATATTCAATACTCTTCTCCAGCACCAGAGCTCAGAGGCATCAACTCTCTTCTGTCAACCCTAGTCATTGTCCAGCTTTCTGATGCATAAACAAGTAATTGCAAAGACTATGGCCTCTATCAGGCACACCTTAGTCTCCAGACTGACATTGTTGCTCTTTAGTAATTTGGAGAGGTCTCTGACAGCAGACTTTCCCAGTGAAATTCATCTTTTAATTTCCTGGCTGCTGGTACCAAGAGTGTTGATTATGGAGCCAAGCAAACTGAAGCTGTCAACAATTTCAATCTCTTCATCATCTGTCATAATGCTGCCAATTGGCCCAGTGGTGAGAATCTTTGTTTTCTTGATCCTTCAGTCCATACTGAATGTTGCAGTTCTTGACCTTGTGCAGCCAAGTGTCTCAGCTCCTCCTCAGTTTCAGCAAGCAGGATTGTGTCATCTGCGTAATGCAGATTGCTAATTATTCTTCCTCCAATCCTGATGCCACACTTCTTCTCATAGAGCCCAGCCTGCCGGATAATCTGTTCCACACATAGATTAAAAAATATAGAGATAGAACACATCCTTGACACACACCCTTTTACAGTTTGAACAGTCTAGTGTTTCCTTGCTCTGTTCTGATGACTGCCTTCAGGTCCAAGCATAGGTTTCGCAAAAGCACAATCAAGTATTCTGCGATTCCCATTCTTATCAGAATCAGCCACAATTTGTTGTGATCACAGAGTCAAATACCTTTGCATAGTCAATAAAACACAGATATACATTTCTCTGGTAATCTCTGTTTTCAGCCAAGATCCATCTGAGGTGAGCCATAATATCCCTAGTGCCACGACCTCTTCTAAATCCAGCCTGCACTTCAGGTTGTTCTCTGTTGATGTGCTGTTACAGTCGTTTTTAAATAATCTTCAGCAGAATTTTGCTTGCACGTGATATCAGTGATACTGTGTGATAATTTCCACACTTTTTTGGATCACCTTTCTTTGTAATGGGAACAAATATAGATCTCTTCCAGTCAGCTGGTGGTTGTCCTCCAGATTTCTCTAAGGAGTTCCATAACTTTCTATTATACCAGTAAGCTTGACTGTGCTTATGTTTTTTTAATTTTTTTTACACATTTTTAATTAATTTTCTTCAGGAACACCTACTATGATCCACTTTATACCAACACACCATTGTACCCGTGAACTGTCATCATATGTGTCTGAGTGTGCACACTAGTAGTAAGAAGTTGTGCTGTCAATCCAAAGTTAGGTTATTTGAACCCAATAATTTCTCTGGGAAAGAGAGATGGAAAATCTGTTCCCCTAAGATTTTAGCTTCTGAAAACCTATTGGATGGAGACTCTGATATGAATCAAATATACCTTCAATGCAATTAAAAAACAAAACATACATATACACATATGTATTTGTTGTTGTGTTCCATTGATTCAGAACTGACCTACAGCTAATCCAGCAAGTTTTTGGAATCTGTTAATCACATAGGAATAGATTGCCCATCTTTTCCCTGCTGAGAAGCTTGTGGATTTGAAATGCTTATCTTTTGGTTGTCAATTCAACTCCTAAGCGTTAGACTATTAGAGCTCCCTTACCACAAGGCCACCAGAAGTCTCTCACCACTAGGCCACTACAGCTTCCTATGCATATGTTTATATAGAAACACATGCTTGTAGAAGAATGAACAATCTCCTCCCATGTGATTTATTGCCTCTGAAAACTCACTGAAAGGTCAGCTATGAATTAGTTCCAACTTAATGGCATACAAGAACAACATTTATGTATTAATATATTTGTAGGTATGTGTATATATATGTTGTAGTGTTCTTGTTATGTAAGAAGTTGCCCTGCCAATCTAAAGCATTCTCATGGTGAAAGAACTGAAGAACAAATCCAAATCTCGAGTTGAATACTAAAAGATTCTATGGGCAAAACTTTTAATAATACAGGAAGCAGCAAATGAAAAATGAAGAAATGCACCATCTTAATAGTACCAAAAAGAGTTGGTATTCACTGAACCATTTCAGGAAGTAGGATATTATCAAGAACTAATGTAATGATTGAAGAAGTTCAGGCTTTAGTGAAGGTATTAGTAAAAATTACACTCACCTTTCATTGTCATGGAGTTGGAGCTGATTCCTAGCTTATCTTGTTCTGCTCATGAAATGCCCCTCAAAGGAAATCCAATTACACGGATGCAAATACAAGAGCATTTATTCTCCAGAAAATTCCACATGTGGAGACTTTCTCCCTCAGTAGGAAGGTGGTGAGGGAAAAAGCCCAGAGTCTCCCTGCACAATTGCTTTTAAGGCTTTCCTGGGTGCAACTATTGGGGAGGGGAGATTGAGAGCATGGTTGGTGGGCCAGGGGATCAGTCATGTGGGTCAGCTTTTGATGGGCTGGCTACTTTGCCCACTTTTACTCTTTTTGTGTCACAGAGACACTAGTTAATTCTTTACTTTGCAAGGACAGATAAGACTTTACCTGGCACATTTGTGTTTGCTTTAAGCTAAGAATTTCTATGGCCTGCTTCTGCTTCTGGTATTAATGGAGGTTTTAAAAAAATGGGAATTATGCTCTCCCCTCAAACTTTGATTGGGTTTTCACAGGCTCTCAATTGCATGGGAGGAGACTGCTCATTTTTCTCCCTTCGAGCATCTGGTAGATTCAAATACTTAGAGTTTAGATTGGCAGTGCAACTTCTTACATGTTAGACGACTAGAACTCTTTGGGCAAAAGATAAATTCCTAGGAATTGATCAAATACCAATTCATGTTTTTCAACAAATTGATACACCATGGATGTGCTTACTAATTAACTTTAAGAAAAAAAATCATATTATGTTTGTTTGAAAATTTTCAAAGCATCTCTGTAAGAAAAAATCTGGGAAGTCTGGGAATATTAAACAAGGTGACATGCCACATATTCTATCTGAGTCAGGAATAAGTTAAAGAAAGAAGAGTCTACAAAAACTTTTAAAATTTCTAATCATCACAAAACATAGTGCCCACCAAGGAATGAGTGGATAAATAACAATGACAAAAATACACTATGGAAAACTATTGTTGTTGTTGTTATGTGCCATTGAGTCGTTTGCGACTCATAGCGACCCTATGAACTGAAAGACCCCAAACTAGGGCTTTTCCCAGACCGGGTGCAACCCCGAGCAACTCACACCAGATCCACTCGCTGCAATCACA